TAAATAGTTATAGGTATATTACACTCTAAAATACAACACAACTCATGTACTCAACAAATTGTAGTTGAACTTAGTACTTTACAAATTGCATGAGAGGAATTTATTAATTATTATTAATTTAATAGATAGTAAAGCATAATATTAATTATTTTATCTTTATGAGTTAGTTGTATTAGTTTTCAAACGATAAAAATGGCAAAAGACAAGGAATTAAAAGGAATACATCTGTCATGTAGGTATAAGACTAGAAAAAACAATCRGAAAGTCAAAATGTAAATAAGCATCTGCAGATATAATGCTTGCTGTATACATGACAAGTTGTGCGAGACCAGCTTATAAATTGCATTCAACAGTTCAACAATACTGTATAATATAATAATGCTAAACTATCCACTTAGATTAAGAGAATAACTTTTTTTTTTTTACAAGTATTCKAAATACAAAATCTGTACAACATAGCACAATAAGTATATTTGATATTATGATAGTAGCATGAATATTTTGAATTAAGAAATCACCCATTGGTGACACTTTGCTGGGAATTAACGCTATGTAGTCTAGAACTTGGTTGTTTTAACGCCCGCGGTTTCCCGGTATGGTTTGAGTGTAGACTCTTTAGTCTTTATCAATGGATTTTGGTGGGTTTGTAGGCAATTATGAAAGCATTTGTAGAAATCTACAGCTTCTTCTGTCACAGTTTTCATAGTGGGTCTTAGGGTATAATTGGACACAAAAGGTGGAGCATTTGTAATTTTTCTAATAGCAACATTCTAGAACTGTTGGGTTTTGTTGGTATTCGATACTTAAGCAGTACCCCACAATTGAAGACCGTAGGTTCCCACCGTGGTTTTAGTAGTGTTTTATACATAAGAACTTTAACTTTTAGTTTAGTGTTTATTATTTGTAMGCAAGTAACATAGACTGTGGAGAAGAGAATAACCCTGAGAATAACTTAAAAGCATTTGTCTTGACATTCTGATGAAAGGAAACTGAAAATACTGGGATTTAACTCAAATATTCAATATTAAAATGTTGCAATTTTTTAAATTAAAACAACTAAAACATAAAACCTTTTTAAGACCTTAATCAGTTATCAATAAAACTTTTCAGCCATTTGATTTACAAAATTAGTGCTAATTATTTATACTTTGTTAATGATTTAAAAAAAATAAATATATTTAATACTTACTAACTTTTCAGTAAAAAGAAAGATTTAAATACTTATCGCTAAAATTGGTTACACTGTTTACATTATTTTGGTAGTTAAATTATATAATCTAGTTACCATAAAAAGGTTTATAATACAATATAGCTAAATAACATGTAATATCATGTAGCTGGGCTCACACTATGTAGTGCCATTTGATGTTGAATATATTCAATTTGTTAGCTAATGTATTACCTAGATTTTAACATACACGAAAATAGGATTATAGCACACAACACGATACAGTTAACCTGATTTAGTGTTCAAAAACTGATATCTCAAAAGTTAACAATAGTTTAGAGTCATGTGAATACTGACAAGTACCTACCTAGGGAAGTCAGGAGATTGACGATTCCACGTAATTAATTTTATATTGGTTAGTGGGTACAATATTAACAGTGGGGGGGGGATGTAATTCTCCTTTAGTAAAAAACTAGGGATGTGCCTCGCTGTTTCCCTCCGTTTTAATACACATCAACAAATGGGGCATAGATTGAACACCATCAGGTGTAAAGATTAATAGACCTGTGTAGATCAGACTCTAAAAAAAAACTACCATTAGTCATTTTCATGTATTCGTCAGCCACGGCCCACAGACAGCTTTATGTCGTGCGCCACTGTGATTAGTTTCCGCACAATCAATAGTCGATACGCAACGGCAGTTAATCGTAAAATTTTTATCGAATGCTCTGCGTCACATCCCCAGGGATAATATTATTGGTAGGTACGATGTTTGTAATATTATTTTAAAATAATTATTGTGTAATACTTACGACAACTTCCTCTTGTCCATTTCGACTGCGGCGGATTAGGACACGCGGTGATAAATGGTAATGAAAATATGAAAAACTGMGAAACGCCTTATCAATACGTTTGTAGAACCGTAGGTGGTAGGCAGACGATGATACTCGATACTGTCGTTAACAATGTCGTCAAATTTTCCAGTATCATGTATGACGATCCATAGTTAGGTAGCGGGCGTGAGTGCGAGCGAGTAACAGTTCGTTGAAAACGACAGACGATAAGATGCTTTACCGTGCCGAAAGCATAGACAACGTTAAGACAATTACAAAATATAGTAATTAAAAGTAACACCGACAGAACGAAATAATTATTATACCTATSATACTATTATGATTATTATTTATTATTGTACCTGTACGTAAACGCAGGAATACTTACAATAACATTATGTGTTTTTACTATTATTATATTTATTATGATAAATATTATTACAAAATTAAAATTTATAACATTATACCGAAGTCCTAAAGGTATATATTTTATCTACTGGAATTGATCGCGATGATGGGCGATGAGCCGAWGACGGCCGGCGGGTGGTTGCGTTTTTTTTTAGGTTGCGCAAGCGCGCCAAAACAGTGCAACCGATATCTTAGACTCCTAATACTTGTTACTCACTCTCCACGCACACACTGTACACACTGATAATTGTGCACGGTCTGCGAAATTTTAAAACATGACGTCACGGCGCATATTTTACCCCTTAGATTTTACCCTTAGATCATATATATATGATCTAAGATTTCACCCCAAGGTTCATAGATAATCCGAAAATCAAATATCAGATACGCCTACACTTCTTCCGATCATTGTTACCAACATCAAAAAATAATAATTTTAAAAACAATAATTTTGTCATTTAAGGTGTGCATCAAGCAGCTAAAAATAACGTAAATAAAATTAATTTTATTACAGTTAATAACAATATAATTATATCATTTAATTAATATTTATAAATATAAACATACATTTTATATCTCTAAATATGAACCTATTATACCTACACTGAACGTTTCCACAAATATTTTTCGCAGCATAGATTTAATTAAGTTCTATATAAATACGTAGTGCTATTTATAAACTATTATTTAATTATTCAATATCACACGATTACACGAATGTGTATTTAAGTGCTTTACTGGCTTACTGCTGCTAATTGCTATTCATTATTTGATTTTTGTGTCGGTCAGCACCTCAGCACTCGGCGTCCCTGCCATTCGGGCAGATGGATAACCTAACAAGTGTTAAGTGTACTTGTTAGTTAAAGTAACATAAGTATATATTTTAATAGTTGCCTTCCCCTACCGGCTCCGGCCAACCTAGTGTTTCCAGAAAATCTCATTTTAGTATTATACATTTATACATCATGATCATACATCAAGATCTCTAGTCTTCATGCATTTTACCTAATACTTATCACTTAATTATAAATACAATTTTAGATAATATTATATTATTATGGAAATTGATATTGGCATACAATTAAAATGTCATTACACCAAGTGGTTGGTTCTGAATGTTCTGATGAAGTTAATTATTTTCGTGTCTGTACCTACACTGTATACTAATTTTTTTTATTTAATATGGAAAAATATAATTTAATTAACATTTTCAAAATTTTTAACTGTGAATTAAATGATCTTCTCAATTCAAATATAATTGAGCAGCTCCAGAATTGGTTTCTTATTCCAAAAGAAGGTGACTATTTATGTCCTAGAGGTCATAAATTACGACTCGTAGCACGAAATCATGTTAAAGATACTTGGAGGTAAATTATGCACACATGACACATATTTTAATGACACTTTTTACCATATAGGAACAAATACTATAATAATTATATTATGCATTACATATATTATACTTCTATAGATGACGTGAAAATGCACGGATCGACATAAAAAATCGATTAAATGTGAATACGAAGTAAATTTTTTTCAAATTCTCATTTGTCGATTGCTAAAATTATTTTATTAACATCTGTGGATAAAACAAACCAACCAGTCATTCATTATGGAAGAACTTAGCATAAGTCGACATTCGATGGTTGATCGGGCTAATTTTTGTCTTGAGGTCACTTTTTACCACATGGTTTTAAAAAAAAACTAAAATTGGAGGTGAGTGCGGTTTTCGTTAGCATGATAATACATCATGAAAAAATTGGTAATTAAAAAAAACACACACACACATCATTGTAATATCAATACATTCATCACTTCGTTCAAAATCTAAAAAGCATTATGATTTAAATGAATAAATATATTTTATCTTAAAAAATTATTTTTATGTTTTTTGTGATGGGTGGGGTGGGTGGTGGTTCTAACAATATAACTGTGCCTTATAAC